AAGATTTCTTCCAGCTATGAGATTCTGTGAAATTTAGTGCTTACTGTGTCCCAGGTTCATGTAACTCCACTAAGTACAATTCTGAGCTCCCTCGTAATTCCCAAAATACATAGCTCTCCTTCCCAGCCTGGCATCCCTGTCTGACTTACTGAGAAGTCTCACACCCAGTACTTACTTATTTCATCACCTGGCCATCAATCTCTTCTCTTCTTTCCACTCCTACTCCTTACAACATAGCAACTCTATTACTTGATCAATGGTTCACTTCCTCTGTCAGAGATAACTACGATTTAGCGCTAGAGGCATAATTTCTATATAAGACTAGAAAGCAGAACTGTCATCATGTATTATTGAGATCTTAATTTAATTCCCATTAAAGGGGAATTAAATTGCCTGGATTAGTGTAGGTCCACTCTATTCTTTCCTCTCAGAGAGATGACTAAATCCATTTCGGTGCCATATTTGGTAGTGGGCTATGGGAATGGAGGTTTCTATAAGTCAGACTAGGTGTGTGGTTTCTAGAAAGGAAAGTCTGCCTTCATTGGATGGACAGATGAAGTTATTTACATTCTGTCTGAGAAGGTTCTCCCCAGTCTGCTTGCATGAGAACGAAGTATTGCACACCCATCTGGACTGGGTGAAAACAGAAGCTAATAGCAGTTCTGTGGAAATAGATACGCTATTTATCTTCTGATCCAAGAGTCCAGGCTCTACCCACTGCACCACATGCTGTTCAGGGTGGTAGTTTTCCTTTGAGTTAATGTTTCCTGAGAAGTAAGGTGCAATGTCTAACTTTAATGATAAAGGCTCTATCAATAATAACACATGACTCCTATTTCAGATAGAAGAATTATGGGCAATTCTGGGTGTTGCTGGCAGTCTTGGAGGATGGCTATTCTGTCTGGGTTTGTTTTAATGTCTTTCTTGATGACCAAGAACATTCTGCCTCTTACATGTAAGAATAAGATGTGCTTCTTGCTGACGGGGGTGGTTGGAGGGCTCACTACCATGGGCTGGGCCAGGCCTGTCACCCTCTTTTCCAGTGGAGTGTCACTGTTATGTGACTCCCACACAGGGGAGTCATCTCATTTCCTTAAAATGAGATGAGACTACTAACAATGAAGGGTGACAAGACAACACATAAAGAAGCACAAAGGAAGTCTTCATCCTCACGATGAACTTGCCCAGGATATGTGCTGATAAAATCAGAGCTGAGCATATCCTGAACTCCATCTGTTAAAGGCGCTCACAGCCACTTAAGAGAATGCCAGGCAAGAAAGACCTGGCAATACATTTTCTGCCTGCCAGAGTAACTCCTTCTCTTCCTTCCCCAACCTGGCTAAAAATACAACCAACGTGTCACTGAACACACACACACACACACACACACACACACACACACACACACAAAACAAAAAAGCCTAACATTTGTTGAGCAGATTGTGACAGAATATCAATTAGCTACGTGTTTGGTATGCAAACATCCCCAGTGCTAACTCACCCAGAGGAGGGGGCTTGGGGAGAGGAGGAACAGAGTGTCAGAAAATGAGGGAGCAAGGCACGCTGCCTCCAAGAGAAAGCGCTAGAGCCAAAGCTCTTAGTTGGCGGGTGAGAACGGTGCAATTGCCATATATGTCCACCTAGTGGCAGCAGTTCTAGCCAGAGCCACCTCTACCTCAATTGGTGCCGGTGATGTCTATTTACTGAAAGCCCGTTGGTGCAGGGCCTTCACGTAGGGTGGGGTGGGTGGTGGTGGTGTGTGCTGAACCATTCTGAAGGTTGCAATTTGTCAGCAGTGGTCCCTTTTGGGCAGGGACTGATCTAGGTTACTTGAACTCTAAATTCCAAGTCCAGGGGATAGAATCTGCTGGAAGCAGGGGTTGAAATTTCCAAATAAACGGAACCAAGGCATCATGTTAGTTTCTGTATATATTCTATGCCAGAATAGCTAAAACTCCAGGAGATGAAATAGCAAAAACAGGAGAGGCCAGTGTTCAACTAGAGACGCCAATGAGAGTAGCTGATATGAATAATAGTGGGACAGTAGCAGGCCAGAAGGAGTGAGGTGAGTCTTTTGTTCTGTTCCTTTTGAGTTATAAACCAAACCACTACAAAGGGCAGTTTGGCTTTAGGATAGATTTGAACATGATCTAGACGTTCTGTGAAATGAAGAGTTCACTGATTAATTACATGGGCCAGCATTTCCCAAGATGTGGTATGCATTCCACTTGGGGAAGTGCAGATAATTAGATGAAATGTCTTTTATTTTAATAGTTTGGTATTTATTTATAAAATCCATCTATGAAAAACCCACAGTGAATATCATCCTCAGTGGGGAAAAGCTGAGCCTTTCCCTTAAGACCAGGAACACGTCAAGGATGCCCACTCTTGCCATTGTTGTTCAACATAGTACTAGAAGTCCTAGCAACAGCAATCGGACAACAAAAAGAAATAAAAGGTATTCAGATTGGCAAAGAAGAAGTCAAACTCTCTCTTTTCGCAGATGACATGATACTTTATGTGGAAAACCCAAAAGACTCCACCCCCAAATTACTAGAACTCATACAGCAATTCAGTAATGTGGCAGGATACAAAATCAATGTGCACAGAAATCGGTTGCTTTCTTATACACTAACAACGGGACTATAGAAAGAGAAATTAGAGAAATGATTCCATTTCTCTATATTCCATTTCTCCATAGCACCAAAAACCATAAGATACCTCGGAATAAACCTAACCAAAGAGGTAAAGGATCTATACTCTAGGAACTACAGAACACTCATGAAAGAAATTGAAGAAGACACAAAAAGATGGAAAAATATTCCATGCTCATGGATCGGAAGAGTAAATATTATTAAAATGTCTATGCTACCCAGAGCAATCTACACCTTCAATGCCATCCCAATCAAAATTCCAATGACATTTTTCAAAGTGCTGGAACAAACAATCCTAAAATCTGTATGGAATCAGAAAAGACCCCGAATCACCAAGGAAATGTTGAAAAAGAAAAACAAAGCTGGGGGCATCACGTTGCCCGATTTCAAGCTATATTACAAAGCTGTGATCACTAAGACAGCATGGTAATGGCACAAAAACAGACATATAGACCAATGGAACAGAATAGAGAACCCACATATGGACCCTCTCAACTCTATGGTCAAATAGTCTTTGACAAAGCAGGAAAAAAGACAGTCTCTTCAATGAATGGTGCTGGGAAAATTGGACAGCCACATGCAGAAGAATGAAACTCGACCATTCTCTAACACCATACACAAAGATAAACTCAAAATGGATGAAAGACCTCAATGTGAGACAGGAATCCATCAAAATCCTAGAGGAGAACATAGGCAGTAACCTCTTTGACATTGGCCACAGCAACGTCTTTCAAGATACATCTCCAAAAGCTAGTGAAACAAAAGCAAAAATGAACTTTTGGGACTTCATCAAGATAAAAATCTTCTGCACAGCAAAGGAAACAGTCAACAAAACAAAGAGGCAATCCACAGAATGGGAGAATATATTTGCAAATGACACTACTGAAAAAGGGCTGGTATCCAAGATCTATAAAGAACTTCTCAAACTCAATACCCAAAAAAACGAATAATCAAGTCAAAAAATGTGCAAAAGATATGAAAAGACACTTCTCTGAAGAAGACATACAAATGGCTAACAGACACATGAAAAAGTGTTCATCATCATTAGCCATCAGGGAAATTCAAATCAAAACCACATGAGATACCACCTTACACCAGTTAGAATGGCAAAAATGGACAGGGAAAGAAACAACAAATGTTGGAGAGGTTGTGGAGAAAGGGGAGCCCTCTTACACTGTTGGTGGGAAATGCAAGTTGGTACAACCACTTTGGAAAACAGTGTGGAGGTTCCTCAAAAATGTAAAAATAGAGCTACCCTATGACCCAGCAATTGCACTTCTGGGTATTTACCCCAAAGACACAGATGTAGTGAAAAGAAGGGCCATATGCACCCCAATGTTCATAGCAGCAATGTCTGCAATAGCCAAACTGTGGAAAGAGCCGAGATGCCCTTCAACAGATGAATGGATAAAGACGTGGTCCATATATACAATGGAATATTACTCAGCCATCAGAAAGGATGAATACCCAACTTTTACATCAACATGGATGGGACTGGAGATTATGCTAAGTGAAATAAGTCAAGCAGAGAAAGTCAATTATCATATGGTTTCACCTATTTGTGGAACATAAGAAATAGCATGGAGGACATTAGGAGAAGGAAGGGAAAAATGAAGGGGGGGAATCGGAGGGAGAGATGAACCATGAGAGGCTATGGACTCTGAGAAACAGGGTTTTAGAGGGGAGGGGGGAGGGGGGATTGGTTAGCCCGGTGATGGGTATTAAGGAGGGCACTACTGCATGGAGCACTGGGTTATACGAAAACAATGGTTCGTGGATCACCACACCAAAAACTAGTGATGTATTGTATGGTGACTAACATAACAAAATAAAATTTAAAAAAATAGTTTGGTATTTATTTTAATGTGCCTTAGGTGAAATATAATTTATTATAGCACAAGCCTGTGATTGGTTTTCTGTTTACAATGGTGATATAAAATTTCCATTTGAAATACTTTTAGTAAAATTCCGACTCTTGATCTCAACTCAGGTCTTGATCTCGGGATGGTGAGTTCAAACCCTGTATTTGGCTCCACACTGGGCCTGGAGCCTACTTAAAAAAATGTTTGAAATACTTTCAGTAAAATAAGTTTATTTGAGGAAAAAATATTAAGTACATAATAATATAGAGGACGTTATTAGAAGAATCTGGCAAAAGTCACAAGTAGGGAATGTAAACAATTGGAAAGTTTGGGAAATACTCATTAATCGAGGGAATGAAATAGATTGACTTGTAGACAGGAGAGTTCACAATACCAGACAAGTGAAGGGAAAATGGTAGAACTCTTAAAGGATCCAGATTCCAGTTCTAACTGCCACTAAGCCTGTGTGACACTGGCCTCCATCTGGATCTCCACTTTCTTACCTAGAAAATGACTCTAATGCCTTGCTCAGCTTTCCTATTTAGTGGTTCTGTTTCACTTATTATTAGATTATGAACAATTATAATAACAGCCAGCGCATTAAGGTCGGCTGTGAGCTGGACGGTTTCCATAATTCATCATTTTAAATTTCCATAGTAGTCATGAGAGGTAGGTGTTAGTTAATTCCTATTCACCCTTCAAAACTAAGCTCAAGATCATCTATTCAAAGAAGTCCCTCTCTTTCCATCTTAGCCAGTGTCCCTCATCCGTGTTCTCTTACTGTTCTATGTATGCTGTTTTTTTTGTTGTTTTTTTTTTACTTTGTATCCCCAACACCCTGCATTGTTTTGGGTAGAATAAAGAGTCAACAAATGGCCAAAAGAGGGGAAGTTTAAGGGAGAGGAGGGACGCCAGGAGAGGGAGGGGATTGGAAAAGAAAATATATTGCTATCTTATTTTATTACATATGAAAGAAGTAGAATTAAGAGGTAAGAGAACAAAGGGATTAAGTATATGATCTTCTATATCCAAACTCTTGGATCTTCTATATCCACCCAGCTGTGCCACTTACTAGGTGGGTGATTTATGGCAAAGGGTCAATGCCTGTCCTTCAGTTTCTTCATCTATAAAACAAGGATATCAATACTTAACTTACCTTAAAGGATGTTGCAGAGACTAAATGAATTATATATAAAATGCTTAGAAGTGTGCCTGGGGTATGGTAAGCAGGTGCTCAATAAACATCTGTTATTGTTATTATTTTTGTGAAATGAATAAAAGGGGAGAAACCCTTTTATTAATTAAAATTAAAATATTATGTGATATTTATCATACAAGAAGCCCAAATTAAGTGTGATTATAGCTTGGAAGGGAGAGATCACTTCTAGATAGGAAGAGGAAGTAGAACAGAATGGTGAAATCTGGACTTTAGAGACAGACGGCCTTGGTTTTGAGCCCTAACTCTGGCACTAATGAGCTTATATGATCTTGGGATATAACCTAATCTCTTTAAACCAGTAATGTCCTTATCAGTGAAGTATGGATAATATTAGTTGGACAGACTAAATGGGATAATGTATGTATATATCAGGTACCTATTATGTGTTTGTAAAGTGGCTAATATTTCATCATCATCATCATCATCATCAACAACAACAACAAAGGCTTTGTGAGGCACTCACTATCTGGATGGGCAGATACAAGGAGAGAGCACTGAACAGCCAGGAGGTGTGAATAAAGGTACTGTGGGTGTTAGAGAGAGCCAAGGGCAAACAGGGAGGACAAATGGCACTGTTTAATTAGAATAGCGGATATTTTCAGGAAAGTAATGGGAGGGAAGATTGGGAAGTTGGCTTTAAAGGCCAGGCTGAGAAATTTAGTCTTTAGACTGCAAGTATTACTGAGACTTTATAGTATTCTACACATGGTAATGACCAGTTCAGAGTCAGCCATAAGGGCAATGTTCTAGCTGTTTGTGCAAGACAGTCTGGGGATGGTGAGGGAAGAGGGAAACAGATAAACCACCTAGGAATCTTTTCCAGTATTTCCAATGAGAAGTTGAGGTCCCTCTCTGGGCTGGTAGCATGGGGAAGGATAAGAGGGAATGAACATGTGGGACACTGGGAAGAAGAAACTCATAGAACTGTGTCCATCTGGATGTGAGAAGCAGTGAGGAGGCAGAGGCCAAGACAACTGTGAAGGTTTCCAACTAGATGACCACGAGCATGGTGCTACTGTTCTAATAGAAAGAAACCACAGAGGAGAGTGGCCTTAGGGGGCAGAGAGATTTGCTTTTTGCTATGCTAAGTTGGAGGTGCAGTGGGATATTCTGTAATG